TTGAAATAACTCTGCTACCCTCCTCCATCCAACCAGACCTAGTACAAGGCCCACTTCTGCTTTGAAGCCTTCTCTGACCACTTGTGTGCCCTTTTTCTCCTTAGGGTCTTATTTCACATGGCATTTATCATTAATTGTGAGGCATTTAAAATCATACATTGGTGACAATGACATTTCACTTAGCCTCTTTAGCCCCAAACAAATCAAAAGTTCTTTCAAGTCAGAAACCACTATGTTTCATTCATAATTTCCTTATAGTTCCCTAAATAGCTACCACAGAACTAGACAGAAAATCCACATAAAAACCAAGCAAGGAATTGATCTCAAATTGGAGTATGGTCATTTACATGGCAGACTGATAAAAATCCAAGGATCCCTTCCAAATTAAAAATTACTTGGGGATGGGGGCTTTAGATTCAAGCCAGCCTCTCTCAGACTCCAGAAAGGATTTGAATGCCAGCTCTCTGCCCTGCCCTGTGCCAGGTGGTTTATTTTAAAGCCACTATATGTGGCTTTAAAATAAACACCACCATATGTGATGATCTCTGTTTATTAGATTCCCCCTCATGAATAAAAATGAAGTCATAACAATCTAATTAGAAAATTTTTAGATTGCAAGCTAAGCCAGAAACTAATATTTGGTTCCAGTGGAAAAATACTGACAAAAACAAACACAAGAAAAAAAATTAAATGATCCAAGAATTGACATCTGGTACTGCTGTGTCTGTTGAGAACTGGCAAAGCATATTTTAAAAATATATTCTATTCAATAAATAAAAAAAAAATGTTAATCTGGTTTTTTTTTTAATTTCTGGGAATTTTTATATTCCTTAAACAAGACAGATTCAGTCCTTTCCGGTCTAGACATGCCAACAGATTAACCAGAAAGAGATGAGCAAAAGGTGCTGTAAAAATGATTTACACAGAGCACCACACAGCAGCCTTCATGCTGCAGTGAAGAACCAGAGCTCCTTAAATCAATCTCTAATGGGAACTACATTTTCCATTATAAGTGGTTATAATGGGATTCTTAAAAGCCCTTCTTTCACTTAATGTTGACTTTTCCTCATATCAATAAACTCTAGACTCATCCAAACACTGAATTACAAGAGTCTCCTGTATTTACGACATATTACAGACCAAAAAGAATTTTATGAGGGAGTGAAATCTTCTATCTAAATATTTATTTTTGTGATCTTAAATCAGGATGGTCAATTCAAGCCTAAATTCAGTTCATTATGCAAATAAAAATGGCATATCCCAAATCCTTACCTCGTAAGAGCTGTGTTGAAGGCCAACTGCTTTCTGTACTGCCTGCAAAGTGTTCCCTGTTTGAGACCATAGCCCCACTTAGAATTTAAGCACAGAGCTATCAGAGACTTCCTGCTATATCAAACCAGTGTGGACCCAGACAGCCCAGGGTGGCTTTTGGCTTCACATCTAACACACAGCAGCTCCTTGTACATTTATGTATAAACAGTCCAGACTGGAAAAACACAGTACACTCATGATGTCCATCAACTGTTTTCCCCAAAACATGTTTCCTGTTATACAAATGAAATAATGCTTGGTCACATTGAGTTTGGCCATTGAAGTAATAGACCAAAATGTTCCTTTCTATGTAGACATTTCTTCCTAGAAAATACTTACGCTTATACAGAAATACAACAGACATTCATTCAGTCTTTCTCAAAGCCATACTGTATATGAAGGAAGGATATTCAAATGTACGTGTTAACCACAGTCAGAAATTTGAATATTCTGTTTAACAAGAAACCTGAGAAAAAAAGACAGAGAAACATACAAAAGTATGCCACAAACATGTAAGGGGAACATTCAGGAGATAATAACCCCAAATAAAAAAAAAATGTGTGTCACAAAAACAAAACAGTAGAAAACAGAACTTAATAGCAACAAGAAGCTAAAATGTTATGCCTGAATCAAGGTGATCGAAAACAGGCCAGTAGATAGCTACTTGGGAAAATGGGATGAAGCCAGTGGATAGCACAATGAACAGAGAACTCGTCAACTCTTATTCCACTATTCTTTGCTGAGGGAACTAAAATTAGACCTGAAAGAATTAAACAAAATTTGAGTTTCACTGTTCTCTTACCAAGATGAGTAAAGAGATTTCATCAAAGTAGCTAGCTATTCTAAATGA